GAGAGAGAGAAGCCCTCGCCTTTGATTCTCTGTTGTAATATATATCCGCCCCGCCCCCTTACCGCAGTCGGCAAGTCTCCAGCTGTGGTGGAGGTCTGGTCTGGACGAAAGAAAACAGAAGGAAAGAAAAAAGAAAAAGAAAAAGAAAAAGTAGAAGAAAAACAAAAAGAAAACCCACCCCATCCCCACCTACCACCTACCAACAACAACTCGCCAACCGTATCCACGCTATTCATAGCGGCACTCTCCCTAGAGGCTTGCTCTGGCGATACTACTATATGCCCGCCCCAGACTACCGCTGGCAGATTCTGGGGTCGACAAGAACCCGGAAGGAGCTCGTGTGGAGAGAGAGAGAGAAAGAGATATATCTCTATCTATCATAAAGCACAGCGCGTATAGTATATATATATTCTGTCCGTCCATCACCACCCATCAACCAACCCGACGTGGGTTACTGTACTGTACCGTAAGTCAGGAAAGAGGCCGCAGATTCAGTTCAGTTCAGACACGCATACGCATACGCATACGCACGCCTCGCCTCGCTTAGCGCGGCCTCTACACAGCACAGTACCTACTTAAGATACATACAGTACCTACAGTACAGTACACTACACTCACCCAAAAAGGGAGTCCCTCACCAGGTTGCACCCACAACACCGCTATACCTACACCTACACCTACACCTACACCTCCACCTCCACCTCCACCTCCACCTCCACCTCCACCTCCACCTCCACCTCCACCTACCTCCACCTCTACCTACACCTATAACCTATACCTATACGCCCCCCCCCCCCCCAACCGTCTAGAAAGAAAGTCAGCTCGCTAGCCAGCTAGCTAGCTCCCCCAACCCGTCCCGTCATCAGCTTCGACAGACAAACAAACACACACACACTCACTACTAGAAGACTAGATCGAGGACCGTGGTGGGCGAGTGAGGGCAAGAGGCTCTACCGTAGTGATGCGGAGACGGGCGGCGGCGCGACGAGGTTGGTGGTGCGTTTGTTGTGGTAGGTAAGGTAGGTAGGTAGGTAGATATATATATATAGAGAGTAGGGGGGTGTGGAGGTGGGGTTTGGGCTTGCTTGTGTGTAGTGTATAGTATATAGTATAGTATAAGACAGAGAGAAGAGGAGAGGAGATGGATGGAGGGATGGATGGATGGAATGGCTCTGTGTGTGCGGAGACCCCTTTTGCTATCGTGTTGTGTGTGGGCTGTTTACTACTACTACTATTACTACTATACTACTACTGCACTTCACTTCACGCAAGACCGCGACCCTCCCCTCGCGATCGTAAGACGTCTCTCCGGAGAGATAGATGAAACGAGAAAATAAGAATGAGTACATACATACATACGGACGTGGACTCGACAGTAGCGATCGCAGAACAAACTAAACAGACCCGGTAAAGAAAAGAGAAAGACGGGGGGGAGGGAGAAGGTGCGACTATCTATTTCGTGACGTTCAACACCTAGGTCTTTCGATCGGAGCGAGGTATTGGCAAGCAGAGCTCAGAGAGAGTACCGGTATGACGAGGTGCTTACTGCTGCGGTTGAGGATGTTGAGAGAGTAGCGTGCGCTGCGGCTGCCCCGTGATTCGCATTCTGGCGCGACCGGTCATCGGGGGCGGGGGGTGGTTGATTGATTGATTGATAAGATTGATAAGTACCTACGGGAGGCGGCGCTCGTGGATGATGACTACGGTACGGTACGTATCACGCATGCCCGAGACGCAAGATTGCGGGAAGGGAGAGCCGACGACGACGACGCACTCGGACGGCGTCGTTCGAGCGGTGCTGAGGTCGGGGGCAGCTGGAGCGCTTGGATAGGGATCATGGCGGGGAATTGGGACGGGAAGGGAGGGCATCTTTTGAAAGCGATGATGCTGTGCAGAAAGATAAAACATTTTTTTTGGGGGGGGGGGAAGAGGAAAAGGACAAGGAAAGAGGTGATGGGTCGATGACGGAAGAGGGTGTTCTTTTCCCACTTGTCAGCCCATGGTCAGCCCACGATAGGCGATAGAAGGAACCGCCCGTGCAGTCTGCTCGTAAGGCTTCGATGCTTGGATGTGAGCGGCAGCTGCGAAAGAAGAGAGCCAAAACCAAAAAAAAAAAAAAAAAAAAAAAAAAAAAAAAAAAAAACAACACGAGAG